CTAAAGCAAAGTGTGATGCATTTATTTCTATAAAATATGGCTTAAAAAAATCAACGTGATATAAGATTGGTGCAAAAACAAAGACTGTCTTCAAAGCTTCAAATACTACTTTTGCTTCTTGATTCCATTGAAGTTTGTTTATACAAGTCAAACATGTAAGTAGAGTTGCAACTTGAGAGAAGTCTTTAATGAAGATCCAATAATAGTTGACAAATTCCAAAAAGCATTAGACATCTCTTATCGTTTTTGAGATCTTTCAATCCATAATAGTTTGAACTTTCTTACGATCCATCATAAGTCCATCATTTGAAATGATGTATCCTAAGAAATCGACTTGAGTAGTGTAAAATACACACTTTTCTATCTTGACATAGAGTCCCGCATCTCTTAGTTTTTGTAACACATGACAAACATGAAGTTCATGTTCTTCTATATTTTTAGAATAGATTAAGATGTCGTCTAGGTAACAGACAACAAAATCATCTAAAAACTCCTGAAAAACATCATTCATTAGATGTTAGAATGTTATTGGTGCATTTGTAAGTCTAAAAAGCTTGACATTGTATTCGGAATGTCCATACCTTGTTCAAAACACAATCTTCCATTCATGTCTTTCTTTGATGCGTACTAGATTGTATGCTCCTCGTAGATCTTTTTTTGTATAAATCATAACTTGATTCAAGTGATCAAAGAGTCCAGATATCAAAGGTAGCAAGTACCTTTTCTTGATGGGAATCCTCGATAATCGATACACATCCATAATGATCCATCTTTTTTATTCACAAATAAAATTGGAACTCATTGTAGAGATTTGGAATGGCGTAAGAAGTTTTTGGCCAAATTCTCTTCAACTTACTCTTTGGATTCAGCGAACTCATTTTGAGATCAATTGTAGATCAATCCAAATGGCAATTGTGCTCCTTCTTGAAAGTCAATTGAACAATCATAGGAACGATGTTCCAAAAGAGTATCTACATTCTCCTTCTCAAATACATCTTAAAAATCTTGATTTTGGCTTAAAATGTCACTTGAAGTCTTTCTACCATTAGAAAGAGGTGCGGCATAAATGACACAAGGTGATCCTTCTTTTGTAACATGTAAGAAAGCTCTTGCACCTATAAATATAGGTTTAATTATAGTAGACTTATGACTTTCTACTTGATTAATTATGCTTTTAGTTATATTTTCAGAAAAATTTAAGACTACGAGAAGTCCAATCTATTTTAGGATTATATTTTTTTAGCCATGATAAATCTAAAATAACTGGATTAGAAGGAGATCTAATAATATTAAATATTATAAAGCTACTATGACCATTAATAGCTACTTCTATAAGAAGGGTTTCATGAGTAACATCTTCTGAAGACAACAGATGACCATCTATGACTTCTACATGAATAGATTTAGTTTTCTTTACTAAAAGTTGGCTATATCTTTTAGCAAATTCTTCATCTAAGAAACATACTAAGGCTCCTGAATCTAGTAAGGTAGAGGCTTTGTGATGTTTAGGTCCTAGAATAATATTTATTGTAAAACAAGGAGAGGGTTCTGAGGAGAGAATAGGACCTTTATAAGGCATTGTACAAGGTTCCAGCTGCACAGTTCCTACTGTAGCTAGATAAATTCATTTTTCGACTTGCTATCTTCTTTGGTCGTCGTATTCCTCATTTTGTGGTTGTGTTACTTCTTTCGGCAATGTTGAGTAGTGTGCTTAGGTTTTCCATAATATAAGTACAATCCTTCTTGATGTTGATAAGGCTTTTCTTGCTTAGTAAGAGATTTGAAATGTATCGCATCAATTTTCATATCCTCTACTTTCGAATATATGTGTTGAAGAGATGTTGGTGTTGCCATTGAATTATAATGATGTTGAGGTCCACCTGTATGATTTTGAGAAAAAAATTCAAAAAGATGATTGTTGCACTTCAGAGCAAAGTCAATTGCTTGACTCAATGTTTGAGGATCAAGTAAGTTGAGCATTAATGTTTTTATCTCATATTGTAATCCATAAAGAATTTGGCTAACAAATGCAACATCATCCCACTTGATATTAGTTGTAAGTTGTCAAAATTGTAATTCATACAACGTTACTAATTGATTGTCTTATCGCAAAATATGGATCTTGTTGATTGCAATACAAATTGCATCATGTTTTCTATACATGGATCAAAATTCTATCAAAAAAGGCTGCTCATTATTTAATATTGGATCTCGTTATTGAAGAAAAGATGAAAACTATGATAATATTGAACCTGAAAGAAGCATACCATTGAATCTAACTTGCGATCTTTGAGTTGGATAGCTTTAGGGTTGAAGTTCAATCACAAGTTGTATTTGATTGATAAATCATCTAAACTTTGATCTGGTACAATCAAACTTCTTGGGTATGACAATTCTTGATTCTCCAACACTAGAAGGGTGTTTCACTATAAGAAAAGGGACATGATTTGGTGTAGATGTTGAAGCATCTCCAATCATGTCTATATCTTCACTTCCTATCAATCTTGTTGCTCCTTGTGGTAGTAAATTGAGTTGATGCATTGCAAGCATTAACTTCCTCAATTGCTCTTGCATTTGTGCCATTGCATTCTTTATTTCAACAAGTGTTGCCATGATAACACTTAGAAAAGAGAATTGTCTAATATCGCTTAAGATAAATAGATTAGAGGACTTGAGAACAAAAAAAATACTAAGGACAATATCAGTTTACAAGAGGGTAATCCGTAACTTCTAATATGCTTATGTCTTATCAAGAGAAAGGGATAATCCACTCTTAATCAAGATTAGACAAAGCTTTGATATTGTAAGTGTACTCTTGTCAATTTGTCAAGGACAAATACTTGATAAAAACAAATAAATAAGTGAGACTTTTTTCAAAGAAAGATGAAAAAATAGAAATAATTCAATATATGTATTAAGAAAGAAAGTAGAATGGCTATTGCCAAAAGGCAAGAAAATTAGAGACCTTTGAAACTAGAAAAGAAGCAAGAAAAGAGTTGAGAAGAGTGAAGAAGTCTTCATTCTTATCTCTATATATACTATCTACCTAGAAGCTATGTGATGATGTTCTGTAGGACCTTCTAAAACGTGTTGACTTTTTATGACACATGCCTTGACTTATAAGGCAAGTTTTTCTACGTGTGGGCCACATAGTTAGTTTAGTCTTCAAGCTAACAACATGTATTGCACTTGGCCAACTTATTGACCACGTTTCTAATCCAAAAAGTCAATTAAGGACACCTATAAAGTCAAAGCACCATCTATAAAGCTTTTAGGAAGCTTTTGTGGCAAGTATTATAGATTTAACTAACTTTTACTTACTTTTACTTACTTCTACTTATTTATTCTTTTAATTACTAGTTTACATGCGTATGTTCATGACACCTGATCATATAATATTTGAACATTAATATTTAAACTATATATATATATTAAATATATATATATATATATATATATATATATATAGTTGTGTTTTTAATTTTTTTTAAGAAATAAAGAAAGTTTAAAAGTTTGTACTTTTAGTTACATTTAAAAAGAGTTGATTCTCTAAATGATATTAAATTTTATTTTTTAATTATTCTTTGATTTTTTTTCTAAACTAATGATAGAAAGTTGTTTGAGTTATTAGAATCGATGATTCTATGCAATATAAAAAAGATTAAACATTTGTAATTAAGATATATCAATTAGCACCACAAAATAATGAAAAAAATTTTTCTATTTCTATACTACAGAATATTAAACTAAGATCTTGTTATAAACAATAAGAAATCCAATTGAACAATTCAAAAGAGAACATGAGAATCTTCTACAAATCATGGCTTCAATCTTAGCATGATATATTTATAGGCTATTGTTAATGCCAATGCAATTTTTGCTATTGTTACTACAATCCAGAATCCATTTGATACATTTATATTGTTTTATATTTTTTTAATTATGTTTCTATTAATATTTTTAATACATATATCAAATTATTTAGAAAATAAGTAAAAATTTAATAATAATAATAATAATTTTTTAAAAAAATACTATAATATATTATATATATATTGATGTGTGTATATATATATATATATATATATATATCTACATATATAAGAAATTATACTTATTTATTTATTTAGCATTGATTAATGGTGTGAGTGACATGTGGTGGCAATAGCAAAAATTGTAATGACATTAACAATATCCAATATAAAAATATATATAAAAATATGTATTGCATAAAATGAGAAAGGCTTCAAATGATTTCAACTCCCACCCAGCACTCATGCATAGTGAAACTCATGAACTCCGTTCAATTTCCGCAGTTCCAAAGTCCTTTCCACTCATCCATCTACAAAAATTGTACATTTTCCCGTTATTACTCGAGACAACACATCACAGCCAAAAAGACACATCCATATAGAAAATAAAGGACATAAAACGAAAAGAAAAAAGAAATCACAGTCACCTCCTCCTCTGGGCAGCCCGAAATGATGCTGCGGCACGAAGTAGAGAAACCACCGTCGCAATGTATGCGAGAATGAATGCGAGAATGCGAGCGTGCAAGCGAGCGAGTGAATTTGTCGCAGACCCTGCCTGCCCTGCGAGGGAGAGATCTCACGCTCCCACGTCGCTGGATTGTAACCGACGCGAGCTCAGAGGAAAGGAAAGGCATTCGATGCAAGTCTGGCCACGATGCTGCTGCTGCTGCTGCAGTAACAGTAGCAGCCATGAATGAAGGCACCGCAGAGCATCGTTTCCAGAGAGAGAGACCATCTCGACTGAGCCAGATTGCAGAGGAATGAGTGTCTGTCTGTCTCTCTGCATGAGCTGCTGCTGCAGGCACGCTTCCTCGCGCTGGAGCAGGGCTGGGCTCGCAGCGACGGGGGAGGCAACATGAACCTCGTACCTGGCTCCTCCTCCTCCTTCCTGCTCGGAGTGGGCGTCGTCCTCGGGCCACAGCCCGTCTTTAAGTTGGCCTCACCGAGTCATGATTCGTCTTCGCATGCTGTCATGGCCAAGCGCGCCTTGTGCGGGAGCATTAGTCATGAGTCCATGCACAAGCCTCGCACGTGTGGCGTTCATTGTATGATGTGGGGTCTCCACTGCCCCTCTGGCAGAAGTGGAGTGAACCCGTCCCTGTGTGTGTGTGAAAAGAAGGCTTTTCGGGCGGCTGGCTCGGGTTTCAGCGCACACATTGCCTCACCCCCGCCCTTTGCAGTTGCTGATTGAGTTGTGTCATCGATTGATGCCTGGATTGCCACAGACACGCTGATCCATAAACCTCTCTCTGGGCGACGTGTTCTTTAAGTCCGCACTGGTAATCAAGCTCGCGGTCTCTCCTTTTCCTCTTCAGGATATCTTCTCTCTCTCTCTTTCTCATACTCCTGGTGCTCTTGCTGTAGCTTCAATCGTAGGCTCTATGTATCTTCCGTGGTGTGCTGTGGTTGAAGTGGCGAGGAAACTATTGAGCAAGAGAGTCTAAGGTGATTGCTTGAGTTCTGGGTGGTTCCTCTGTCCCAAGGATGTAGAGAGCAACCATTTGGCAAAAGTGGGTCTTAGATGTTGTTCGTTGTCTTCAAAATTTTGGTGAAGGTCGTTCTTGGTGGAGCTTGTTCGGAAGTCGTCGCGGAATTGGGTACTGGAGATGATATATTCCGAGGGATCTCGCATTGAAGTAAGTACTGTATCATCTGCATTTCTTGCGTATTCTTTCGCTGCAAGGAAGTGAGTAACGCATGTCTATTAGTTATTTTGTAAGCCTTGAGTGAGTACTCAGAATCGAGAGCGCGCATCCACTGTGGAAAATCTAGATCTGATTCCCTCTTAACTCAGATTCATCGCAGAACTTTTCCGCCTGTGGGTCCTTGGTAAAGCGTCTCGAGTCTCTGAATACATTTTAAGAGATTTTGAAGTTCTTTCAAATTATTTTAATGCATTCTCTGTGTACATCGTTATATGATTAACTCGAGATATCTCTTTAAACCAAAGCGAAGTTACCTGATATCATCTATCGCTCTAGCCAAGTTTTGTATTCTACCGAGACATTTTGATTTTGAACGTGTTAGCAAGAAGAGCATCGCAGCTACTAGTTTTGAAGGGCACAGATTGATCAGTTTTGTGAAGTAGAGGTCCAGCATTGCGCTTCTGGGTTGACATTGCGGACCTTTCGTAGAATTCTAAGTTCAGAAGTTGCCATAAATGTAGCAAAGGTCCACAGTACCCGATAATAATAAGAATAATAATAATGAAAACAATAACAATAAGTATGAAATAAATAAACAACAACAGCAAACACATCATACTAAAAGCTGGAAAAAGTTTCAAACTATAGCTTCGACAATGGTTCCGACGAATTGAACCGGGTGAGGAGGAGGGATTTTTTGTGAGAGGGACGAAGGAGAGTTCAAGGAATTTCGTTGAATGCTACTGGTGGTCCTGTTGCCGTGGCCATCTCAGAACTTAGTGCCGTGACGTTGTAGGAATTTGTTGAGATACTAAATTCACCTGCTTATTTCATATTGTTGAGTTGACGAAGTATACCATCCCAAACGTCTAACTGGTGTTTTGGAACCTACTGGCAGCTCGATCCTTGGTGCATTTCAATTGGGAATGCCAAAAAATTAGCCTCTTCTAAATCTGGCTGTGGGAATGGAATCCGGGCTATTTGATGTTTCGCAAACGCTTGCTCTGAGAAATAAAGAGTTGGAGAAGCAGTAGAATACTCACGTTGGGGTCCAAAGACACAACATGAAGTTTGTGAGAAGATCAACATCTAGGCCATGAAGGATAGAGGGATGCTGTTCAGTAAGTACATTTGTGCTTGGCAACCAGTCCGAGTGATGCATGGTGACGGCCATGTTCGAAGCCTAACGCGACCGGTAACAGTGGGAGACTTGCTTAAATGTCACCCTCATCACTTCGTCTGCAAGCCCAGCTCAACTGGACCGCTTTACCACAGTAGCATGCTGCCCTCAGACATGGAGCTCGAAGAAGGCAGAATATACCTGCTCCTCCCACTTCCTCGGCTGCTGCCTAATCTCAGCAGTGCATTATCCTATCCACCGTCATGCCCATGCTTCTCCCACCTAGAGGCCACTCAAATATATAACGATGACGGCAGTCCCGACTCCAAGTCTTTCATTGGAGAGTATTCAAGGATGAAGTGCTGGATTGCGAGGAGACATGGCCAGTTCCAGGTTGCAGCCAACACAATTCGGATGCTCAAGCACAGAGTAGCCAAGTCGAAAATCATGAAATCGTTGGTACGCATGAGCAAGAGAACTCTCCCGGAGAGGCTGCTATTTCGGTTATGTTTTCAGAAACTTGAGGATAACATCCTATTGCCTTCATCATCACCATCTGATGTAGAAAAACCAGGGCAATGCTGCTCAAGGAACCGGTGGAGACCAGGGTTGGAATGTATCTCAGAGATTGCTTTAATTACGGGCTTGCTTCGAGACTCTGAGGTTAGTGAAAGATAAATTACACTACCTCTCAGCGACATGTACAAGTGGCCCCTCATCTTTAAGAAGGAAGATTGGAGTGTCGGTGGTCCATCGTGTCATGCTTTATCCACATCCCTACCATACAACAAGGCGATGCGAGACTGAGCTTTCGAATGAGAAGGACCTGGCATAGCTACAGGTTTTATCAATGTGCACGTTACTCGTGGGAGGCTTTCAATGACGTGGGATGAACGGCGTGGTGATGTACACAAGGGGTCAACTTGACGGATCCTAAGCGACGCTTCGGATTATGCTCCATATGAAAATAAACTCCTCTCTGAAACACTTTCACTATTCAATTAAACCATTTGTAGCTTTTCTGACAATATGTTGTGTCCATTTATCCACAACAGTCAGTTGCTCTATCTGAGCTTCTGGCAACACTGCTCTGCAGGTTAGAAACCCTTTCTCTCTCTTCACGTGCGGGAGTTTGGATAAGTTCACGACATATCCACAGCTTAAGGTTATTATATCATTGATTGGCATTTTGTTTCGAAGGTATGCAATTACGAGAACTTTGGCAATGAGGAACATTGCTCCAACAATTGATGCCAGAGCATTCTCTCATTTAACTGATTTTGTGGGTTAACTTTCAAATTATCTAGCCATCTCAAAGTATTTCACTTAAGGTGCTGTTACGAAGAGAAACTGATGTACCCAGCAGTGATGGGATCGTGATCACCTCTTCCTACTGAAAACGCCATGCTCATCTTCCTACCAGCAATTTCAAAGATCAGTGCAGTCATTCATGTCACTGCTAGAATCAGAGAGCATGGGCTAAAAACCAAAGAGATCGGAATAAAGGCCATAATTGTAATGATGGTTTCTGGAGATGATCTATCTTTCTAATGATGGTTAGAATATGATGGATTTATTTAGTAAATGGGTGAGTCATTTAAACATTTTTCTATATATATACCTACTTATAATATTAAAAAACACAATTTAAAAAATTGCTTAAAGAATTAAGCAATGAGAGTTCACTTGGATACATCAGGATCATGTTTGTTTGTTAAACCTTTTGGTTTCGGATTTCTTACAGTGGTAGTGGAATATTAACTCTCCTATTGTTATCAACCTTTATTGGTATCATGGATCTCCAAGGCTTAATTGTATCCAATTGCTATACATTTGATTTTTATTTATTTCATTGAATTTTAGAAGTTTTGATGGTTTTATACATTTTTTTCTTTGTTATAAGCAATTCTTTGCTCTTTTTTCTAATTAATAATTTTTATATAGAATAGGTTTAAATTAAAAGAAATTCTAGTTGGATGTCTTTTTCTTATTGTATGGACACTTTTGTGCCACACCAAAGATATACCATTACTATAAGTTTTTTTAAAGTTGGATATTAATGAGGTTGAAAGATATAAAAATAATAACAAAAATAACTACCTATAACACAAAAATATCAACAATAAAAATCTAATGAAAGAAAATAAAACAAATACTCAAAAAGAGGTATCTACCTTATGAAATTATTATATATACATCTTATTCAATTGATTTGATTTTTTTAGCTTTTGTATTATAAATGTTCATATGTTGCATGTTATTATATTTATGTCATGGACATATACATTTACCTCAATAGTTACTTATATGATTAGGTAGAAATAGATAAATATAGATTGATTTCATAAAGTCTTCTAGAGAAGCTTCTTAGAAGCTTTATAGATGCAATTTTGACTTTAGATGTGTTTGTATGTTAGAAACTTGGCCAACAAGCTAACCATGTGTTGGTAGCTTGTGGAATAAGTTAACTCAGTGTAGTAGCTTGTGGAACAAGCTAATTATGTGGCGCATACATAGATAACTTGCCTTATAAGTTAAGACATGTAGTTAATGAAGTCAACATGTTTTGGAGGTCTTATAGGACATTGCTATGTAGCTTCTAGTTATAAGTATATAAGGAAGTAAGAGTGAAGCCTTCTTCATTCTTATCAACCCCATTCTAGTCCCTAGTTTTGTTTCAAGACTTTCTAGTCTTCTTGTTTTTGGCAATAGCCATTCTAATTAATATTACATTACCTTTTGAATGACTTTCTAGTTCTCTTCAGTGACACAAGCGTGTATTGAGGATTCTCTTTCTTTGAGACTCATGTCCCTAACAGTTTAAGAAGAGTACTAACATATTTTTTATTTATTTTAGAAATGAGTGGATTATTTCACTTCTATTGTTGTGTTTGAAGGTTACAAACTACCTATCTTTTAAACAAAAAAATCTTATTTCCTAACACTGATCTTTCCTTAAAGAGAGTGGATTATCTTTCTTTATCAAAAAATTTATTAGAGGTTACAAATTACCCTTCTCTAATTTAACTTTTTGGATTTTTTTGAATTGCCTATGGAAAGAAAGATTATGGACGCTACACTTCGTAGAAGTGAGAATAGATTTGTAACTATTGCAGATCTTCATAAGTTTGTCAATACTCTTAGAGTAGAAATCTCATGTATTTCTAACCTGAATCATAGAGGTACTATGCCTACACCTATGGAAGCAGTTCAGAGTCTGTGGCAAAAAGTTGTGCAATTGAAGGAAGCAAGTAAATCAACCTCACAACTAAATTCAAGGAGTTTTGCTTCTACAAGTATGATGGGGACAAAGATTAGTATGCTTGCGAAGTTTGATGGAACAAGATCAAAATTTTGAGGATTTTTATAACAAGTCAAGCTCTATCTAAGATTACATCTTTTTCAATATCCTCATGGATTTACTAAATTTGGATTCATAGGTATACTTCTATGAAAAAGTGTTGTCTCTTGGTTTGCATCTTTAATGGAAAAAAAATTTGTAACTCTTTTATGATTTGAATTCATTCTTAGAAGTGTTTATGGCAACATTTGGAGAAAGTGAACAAGAACATGTAGCAGAGACTAAACTCTTATTTTTACAATAAGGATCATGATCAGCTACCACATATGCTACTGAATTCTAAAACCTTGCTTACAATCATCAATCAATTTTGACATGGATTAAAGCATAGTATGAAAGATTTGTTATTAATAATGCCAAAAATAAAATCTTTGAAAGAATTTATCGCATAAGCCATTGCATGTGACAATTGATTATTTGAAAGGTGTCAAGAACAAAGACTTGGTTATAGAAGAAAAAGTCAAGTAATGGCAATAACTTCCAAGTTTTTCGAAACGTATTCATCAAGGTCAGAACCAATGTAAATTGATATGATACATTTTAAAATTTTAACAGAGCAAAAAAAGACTCGACGTTACTAAAAGGATTTGTGTTTATATTGTAGAGAAGCTAAGTACACTACTCAACATTGTCCAAAGAAGCAATGCAATTATAAAATGAGAAGCATAATTATCAAAAAAGATAATGTTTCAAAAAATAAGTTATTCCAACTATAATAGGGACTATGCGATTGGAATCATATGCAACACCTAGTAAAGGTTCTATTCTCTTCTTAGTGTCAAGGACAAGAACTCGATGAAAAAATAATTCAGACAAGTGAGCCTTCACTCAAAGAGAGATAACAAAATATATATAAACAAGTATATATATTGAAAGAGAAACTGGAATGGCTATTGCCAAAAGACAAGAAAACTAGAGACCCTTGAAACTAGACTAGAAGCAAGAAAGGAGTTGACAAGAGTGAAGAAGCCTTCACTCTTGTCTCTATATATACTATCTAACTAGGGGCTACATGGCGATGTTCTATAGAACCTCCAATATGTGTTGACTTTGTAGGACACATGCCTTGACTTACAAGGCAAGTTTTTCTACGTGTGGGCCACATAGTTAGCTTGATCTTCAAGCTAACAACATGTGTGGCACATGGCCAACTTGTTGACCACGTTTCTTATCTACAAAGCCAATTAAAGACACCTATGAAGTCAAAGCAGCATCTAAGGAGCTTCTAAGAAGCTTCCATATTAAATATTATAGAATAAACTTACTTTTATCTACTTTTACTTACTTCTACTTATTTGTATATGTAATTATTCGCTTACATGATTATGGCCGTGACATAACCCCCCCTTCTAAAGATGAGTTCCACGAGGAGCGGTCATCATATGTTGAGAAAATCTATGATGCGACGAATTGTATTCATGACATACTCTGATCTTTGTTCTCTTCGAAGATCATTGATAGGACCTCTCAACCATCGGTAGTGTCCCATACCAGGGCGGGAAGACCACCCAGTTATTTGATCATTGTTGAGGCCTTCGTAACTTCCTTCGAATAGAATATTTGGAACACCATCAGGAGTTATTCCTACCTCTAGCAAAATCACCAAACATCGAGAGTCCCTCCCCAAATCGTGATACCAAATGCGTTGTATCTCGCCATCTATTCGAGGAAGAACATGTCGTTCTTAAAGATCTTCATCTCGATTACGTCGTCTTGAAGGTTGTGACAATCTTAATGTCTCGTCTGGCAGGTCAGCAAATGAAGGCTCTTGAGTTAAATCTGCTGGTTGTTGGTTCTCCATCTCCTGAGCATCACTACTACAACAAAGCTACGAACAAGAATTGAAAGTAGATTGTTATCTTGCCTAGATGTTGTTTCTTTTATAAAGAAGGTTTTCATCTTCATTTTAATGGATGTCATCGATGAAAAGCCTCCACCGCCTTGGCTGCATTTGTAAGATTCTTTATTGGCTCCCATGTGCGTTCACTAATACCATATTCGTGCCAGTGGATAAGATATTCTAATTTATTTTGGCGTCGCCTTGAATCTAGGACTTCTTCTACTTCAAACTCTTCATTATTGTCCACTTCTATAGGAGGAGGTGGAGCTTGTTGTCTTCTTGATGTGTCCACTGTCTTGTATGATTCAAGAAGAGTCATGTGGAATAATGGATGGATTTTCATTGACTCCGGTAGATGTAAATGATATGCAACTGGTTTGATTTGTGCAGAAATAGAAAATGGTCCCAGCCTTTGATAGTTCAACTTGTCACAAAGACGAGTGGTCTTGATATTATGATGAAGTAGCCATACCTTTTCACCCAAGATGAATGATGGTTGTTCCTTTCGATAGACATCCGTATTGACCTTTTGTTGTTCTTGAGCCTCTTTTAACTGCGCCTTCATCGTTGCATGTAGCTTTGATAAATGAATTGCCAAATCTTTCGCAGTAGAATTATCAACTTTTGAAAAGTCAAAAGTATCAAGTCGTGGATGATAACCATAATTAGCAAAGAAAGGTGTTTGTTTTGTAGAAGAATGTACCGTGTTATTGTAAGTAAACTCTGCCAATGGCAAAAGACTTGTCCAATCATCTTGTTGTCACGGACACAAAATACAGACTTGAAATCTAATAAGAAGTTCAAGAAGAAGTGACAAAACTAGATTAAACAGATGAGTATAAGAACAACACCAGAAAGGTGAGCTAGAACTCCAAGAGATGTGTTGTCGAGACTGAAGAACTCTTCAGCCTCGATCCCTATATATACTCCTACTTAGGAAGCTTCTCGAGCTACTTCTATTAATTAGGAAGCTTCTAGAAGGTTCCAAAGGCTTCTTTTCTAGAAGGTTCTAGAAACTTCTCGAGCTACTTCTATTAACTAGGAAGCTTCTAGAAAGTTCCAGGGACTTCCTTTCTAGAAGCTTCTAGAAACTTCTCTTCTATAAGGTTCCAGAGACTTCCTTTCTAGAAGCTTCTAGAAACTTTTCTCTAAAAGGTTCAAGAGGCTTCTCTTCTAGAAAGTTCTAAGGAATATGTCCCTAACATCACCCCCTCCTTTAGCTTCGAGGTCTCTGAGAAGCAATGTTGTTGATTAGTACCAACGCAAGAAAATAAAGATCTGTCGCATAACTTCTGCTATGAACTCTAACTGTTGTTCACGAGGCAAGTGGTT